CTCACCTGCATGATTTATAAATCCTGTAAGAATGATCTTTGTATGTAAGCAATACCGCTTATATACCTCTAGACGGGTGAACTGTAATCACAACTGTTAACATTTTCCTTATGGCAAGTATCCTTTTTCATTCGTGGGATTTCATTACCCCCCCCCCCAACCTCAGTTCGTTTTAAATTTTGTGTTTCATATTTCATTATATTTCATGTTAAGTATATGTTTTTATCTGTTGTAGTTAACCCATTTTTGTCATAAGTGAACCGTTATCAATAATACTTACGCATAAATCATGACAACTGTATTCGATCGATTGTTTAAAGTGCATTAAACATGACCCAATATGTTCTCTCAAAGTTGTTTCGGTTTTCCATTTTTGACCTCATTTTTACTGAGTTGTTATTAAATTTCGAAACGCTGCACTAACAAAACTTTTTTCCCCATAGCTGGTAGAATAGGCATGAGACACAACCTACCTGGCTTATAATTTTCTTTCATTTGTGGCCTCATCTCAACTGAACTGTAATCAAATTCAGGGACATTCCACAAACGAAATATATTATTCATATGAACTGTGATCAAAATTCGACCGGATAGTTGCAAAATAATTGAGCCCCGAGTGAGAAGTAGACATTTATAAAATTATATTTGTAAAATCTCAGCGAAATTGATACTGGTGATCCCAGTATCTCCGCTAGTCGCCAATCCGTTTATGCACTCATTAGAAACAAATGCAATTATGAGATGCCCTAGTCCCCCAAAGATGTGGTTAAGATACGTAGATGATACCTTCGTCACAATCAAACGTACTTTGTTAAATGAACTTTTTCACTTAATAAACAATATGTCAGGAACCATCAAGTTCTCCAAAAAGGTTGAATCCGATGAGAATGAGTTCCGTTCCTGGACTGTTTAGTAAAAAAAATTAGATGGCAAATTTAAAATAAACATTTTCAGAAAGCCGACAAATTCGTTGCTGTTCTCTCGCCGTTTCTCTTTTCCTTCTTCTTACATGACTTACCTCTCTCAGACGAAATCAACTTCGTCAAATATGCAGATGACCTGACTGTTTCGCTTCCCGTTAAGTCTCAGTCAGACTGCTTCAAATTAAATAGCTACCTGTTTTACATCAGTCAGTGGTCTAAACTGAATGGTCTCATGCTGAATCCCTCAAAATGCAAGACTATCGACTTCTCCTTAAGGCATAAACGAGATCTACAAACACTAGTAAGTACTCATGATGCCTGTAGCATTGAGGGGACTACAAGTGAAACAAAGTCTAATGCAAAATATCTCGGATTAGTTCTATCTTCCGACCTTACTTGGTCATCTCATATCCAAACGATTTCCAAGAAAGTGTTTCGTCTAACCTACTACATTAAGAAACTCAGACTAACTGGAGTCCCTCAACTTCTGCTTTCACAATTTGTCAACTCTCGTATCCTACCTATTCTACTTTACTGATCCCCGGTAGTCTTTCCTGGGTTACTGAAAAAGGACTATACCATCATGAAAAGGATGTTAAAGGTAGTTAGTAGGACTAGCGGTGTAAAACTCAGTCAGCTCGTCACTACATTAGTGGATAAGCATCTAAATACATGCGAAAAATGGTCTAAAACCATACTCTCCGACCCCCAACACCCCCTCTATTCCCAACTCTCTCCTTGCATCTCATCAGGTAGAACCAGAAATCAGTACAAAATAATATATGTTCGTACAACCAAGTATAGGAACTCAACGATACCATATTTGGCCCTTGTTCTAAGTGATAGGGGCAATGTTAAGCGTGAAACCTATGACCTGCTTTGTTGTTAATAACATAATTTTGGCCCTTGTTATTTCCCCCTCATACTCTCTTATTTGTACTCTATAGTGAACAACCTTCTTAAACATACTTAGCTACTTAAAATTATTATCATTAGCTTACTTTTTTATTCTTTATTCTATTCCTTCTTTTGTATATCTACTGGGTCCGACTATATTATCACTATGATTATTACAAAATTGTCCTGTCATTAACCATCATGTAATATTAGTTTTGGGGTTGTTTTTCGTTCGGCACTATTTAACCGACAATCTTGTTTGTGAACGCCACTATCATCATCTTAAAATTTTGTATTATGTAGGATTACTCACGTGGCGTCGGTGGTATAGCGGTTAGGACGCTCGCCGACCATGCATATGGTCCGGGGTTCGACCCTCGGCTGGCGCACTCCTTTACCTCACTGAGCCAGAAATAATGCTGGTAAAGAGGAAAGGTTGGGCATGAGGCTAGCAACCCCATCCTGTAAAAATTACACACTGCTACAGAAACTTCAAGCCACTAGCTTGGAGCCCTATGTTCCACTGGGAACGTGAAGGAAAAATTACTTATTTTTTATTAGGATTACTCACACTACCACAACAAACACTGCATTAGTGCTGACAATAAAAAAAACCTGAAATGTTTATTTTATGATTGTAAACCGATCATCTTGGCTATAAACATTCTTAAGAATATTTCATAACTTCTTGTGGGATTATAGCTGTTACTGTTCACCACGCATACACATATCATAGCTTCCACTACCCAATACTGAAATATTTTTTTCATTATTGGTGTTTATCTCCCTTTCTACTTGGTATTTTTATTTGCATTTTTTTCTTTTTGTTTTTTTGTTATTTCTGTGTTTCCTTTTTGGTTTTTTTTGTTGCGTTTTTTTATATATTTTTTTTGTAATACTCCTTTTAAAAATGTATTTTATTTTTGATTTTTTTTGATTTACAGCTTGATGAAATTAGATGCAATATTGTAGATATGTGCTGAAAATTCCACACTGTACCACAAGTACTGTTTCCGGAATGAAAGCGAAATTGTTATGTTATGTTAGACTACTATTCAGCTCACCCGTTTACTACCAAAGTAACTTTGGCCAAGAATCTGATCAACAGAGCCAAACGTCTAGTTACCGAGGAGGAAGATATTAGCAAGGAACTAAAATTAGTTCAATCCACTCTTGAATCAAATAATTATCCTAAAGACTTCATAAAAAGATATTTAAAATGTGAAGATAAGAATGAAAAGAAACCTGATGCTAAGAATTGGATTAGTACAGCGGTGATTCCTTACCGCAAAGAAACATCCGATGAAATAAAGCGATTCCTTAACGATCATAACATAAGAGTGTATTTTCGTGCAACTAACACTTTGCGCTCATCACTGATGAAGGTTAAGGATAAAATAGAACAAGAAAACCAACAGAATTGCGTATACCAGATCAATTGTGGGGATTGTAACGCCGTATTTGTAGAAACTTACGGACAGGTAAATATAAGAGTGAAAGACCATAAACAATGCCTAAAGGTGGTTCCAAAGACATCTGCAGACTTGAAGAAGCTAGAAAACAACTCTGTGATTGCACTGCATTCGATAGAAAGAGGGACACAAAATCGACTTTGATAAGACTAAGGTTTTACAGAAAGGTTTTAGTTTATACAAAGAAAGACTGACTGCAGAAGCCCTACATGTGTACCATGTGTATATTGTCCTGTCCAAGTACTTTTTCTACGCAAATTTCTTTTTATGCTACCACCTGGTTTTCTTGTAAGGAGGACATCCAGGAAGGCACTTCTGTTTCGGGATTCCTCTTCGTGCGTGAATTTCATAGCAGAATGTACTTCATTGAATTCAGTTATTATTGTGTTCCTATCCGAATCATTGTCACAAAGAACAAAGGTGTCGTCCATATACCGGCAATAAGATAAAAGGTTGTTCAGAGGTCCATTTTATAGTTTCCTTAGAAAGAAATCTGCCCGAATGGGACCCAATGAAGAGCCCATACACTTGTCTGTGAGGTGTGCCATTAAATTTGAAATTTATGGTGCACCTTAATAAGAATTCTTTTACGATTTCTGTTGGGATGCCAATATTTATCGACTGGTTATACACTTGTTAGCATATCTTTATTTGTGAATGAAGATGTTATGTCCAAAAATATCATAGTTTTTTCCTTGATATTAATATCTTTGATCTTGTCTACGAATTCAAATACATCTTTGACGCTACGTTTCACTATCTGCTCATACAAAGGTTTGAGAATATTTACTAACCATCTAGCCAGAGCATGGTAGGGCGAATCTCGCATATCGATTATTGGTCTCTAATTCAGGCATTATGCGGGTGTAATTTGAACAGACTTACTCAAGTTAACTTTCACGCTAATGAAAATTCAGTTATGCAGGGTGGAATATATTCTGTTCAAACTTTTTAATAGCTGCTCAGTGTCATTTACAAATTTTAAATTTAAAACTATACTGAAACTACGAGATAGGGAGTGGTGGTCGAGTGTGTTGACCACTTCACTTATTTAGAAAGTTGCATCAGCCAGAATAGACTGATCGCTGGTGAAATCTCAAAAGAGCTGCAGAAGGCTCGTGTAGCATTTGCCCACTCACATCATCTCTGGTGCAGGCGTGATTTTTGGGTGTCCAGTAAAATACGTATACTGTGCAGCACTTCGCTTAGTTCTCCTTCACGACAGAGAGGTAGCCATTGAAACTGGAAGATATGAAGGTGCTAGCTATTTCTAAGCATAGGTATTTGCGTCCCTTCTGTCGTGTTTGATGGTAGAATATAATAAGTGGTATGGTAGTGTGATAGACAATGTATCTGATGGAATACTGTTTCACATATTCCCACCGTTCAATACTGCAATAACAACAGAATAATATATGTATTTCAACATTCTATTTCATCTCGTTTAATGCAAGGCAATATATATATATATATATATATATACCTTGGCTTCCGTAACTTGCCTTCTGATGTTACAGTAGTATTGAGTTTAGGCGTGAAGTGTTAGATTAGGAGGGAAATTTAATCGATGAGGTTGTGAAGCTGCATTTATTGAAATGGCTATGCAATGTGTTACTCATGCCTAATAACAACCTTGCTCATTGTTCAATGTTAGCCCATATATTAGAATTGTTTGGATTAAGGTTAGGAGTAGTCAAATCAGAACTTCACATCAATGTACTAAGCCCTTAGCTGTTGCTTTGAAACCTTTAGGGAGGTTTAGACTACCTACCTGGGTTCGTGAAGACTCTAAGAACCAATAACTTGAAACTGTTGGTGACATAACTCAGAACTGTTCTCAGTAGTACAAATGCACTCACTATTTTTAATTTTCTAGATCCATCAAATATTCATTTGATTATTCCTTCAGTTCTACATTCCCGTTCATTGTAATTCCTTTGGTTTTTCTTTCTTTTTGTTTGCTAAATAGTGTGTGGCAACTTTAATTGTTGCACTTCTGTCCAAAGTTTACGTCGAAAAGTCAGTAAGTGGTAGTCAACCCACCATTTTAAAAAACAGTTAGTTTCTTTTATTTAGTATCAAACTTCATTGTGAAAATCCAGCCAATAGGCTAAGTGAATTCATCAGCGTTTACTTCATATAGTCGCTTTATGGATAATACTATAGTATCGTCTTTATTTCAGTGCTGAGCTATAAATCTTCGTTAATATTGCGGAATCCATCTTTTTTATTGCGAATGAACTGAACGGGCCCTAGGAAGTGAGCCAGTCACAGAGGAAGCAATTTAAACTTTTTATAAATTCCTATTGGGTTAGAGTTATTAACATATTTGCATTGTGTAAGACTACCAACCCTTCATTAGAAAAATTTACGAAAATGTACAGTTTCTTTTGGGAGTTTTGTGAGCAAAACATTAGCAAAATCTTTCGGACTACTTACAAATTGATATTAGAAACAATTAATAATGAATAAAATAGTACAATAAGCAATCACATGAAGTATAGAAGAAACGGACACAATCGTAAATCATGCTGGCTAGTCACCCAAACCGCTCATTTCACTATCATCATCGGACTCATACAATTTACGTCCAGTAGTCCTATTAGGCTGAACACGTTTCTGAGTTTTAATCTCCCCTTCTTCATCATCTTCTTCTGCCACATCTTCGCCAGCTTCAGTATTTTGATCTTCACTGACTTCCTCTTCTTCACAATCGTCACGTCCTAAATCAGATAACAAAAAGAATTTTATTACTTTATTTAAAGTAGATAAATGTGACGGTTACGCATAACACTTGCTTGTTATATAAACTCATTCAATCATACAGCCCAGTACTACAACTGTGCGTCGGTGGCACAGTGGTTAGGACTCTCGCCGACCATTCACATGGTCGAGGTTCGAACCCGTGCCGATGCACATCTGATATCTGTGGACGGCCTGTAAAATTTGGGCTGCAGATACCCATGCTGAAAATTCCATACTTGTACCAAAAATACAGTGTGGAGTCAAGCTGCAATCAAAAACATGAAAAAAATAAAATATTTCTACTACTACTACTGCAGCGTGATGACAGGGAGCAGGCAAAGTTGAAATCGAAATTTTAAGCCAATGACTGCAGAGGTAGAACTGTGCATTCCTTAAATCTGAATTTAGTTTACGTTGTGGACAAACAATAGGCTCATTGGGCTTGTTTAACCTTGGGTCGCCAAGCAAAACAATTTATTCTTCCCTGACCCAGCCGGACTTTAATATGGCTAAGAATGGGTACATGTGTTTTTCTGTAGTAAAAAGGTCCGTTGCCCATCCTCATCTTCCGCCGTTACACTACCACTACTACAGAAGCTTAATCACAATGCATAGGCCTACAAATATATCTGGCTATTTTGCTAGTGTCTTCTGTACTGATATAGTTTGGTGCAGAAAATATTTCTACTTTGGGATCTGCATCCTACAGCAGATTCTACACCACTTAATGTATATATTACTATTGTAACCACATCTGAGGTTAACAGATAATATAGTAGGAACTTAATCATGTACTCTTCAAACGCATTTCGTTACAGTCCAGTAAACTAGGGGAAAGGAAACAATCTGTGAAAATCCCTAAAATTAAATTTTCGATAATTACATGCACATTCTTTAAATGATTTGACAGGAAAGTGGAAACACTGAGGACATTTTAATTTTTCGATATGTTCACAATTTTCACATTAGTGTATTTCAAAGTCAACCCATTTAGCGGAACCTGTCAGAAAATCCTGACACAGAGGCCTAGATTAAAATTTTAAATTACCGATATCATAAGTTCTTCGTGTGTTCTCTTTTTTCTCATCTATCCCTTCTTTATTAACGCCATCTTCATCAGCACTTGCATTCCCAACTTCACTTTCAATATCATGCTCAAGCATACATAATCGATTAGTCTGAGCCTCTAATTCTTCATCTGTAATAATAATAACGGTAAAGATTTATTTAAGACAGTATGCGAATATACGTACAAAAATTCTCAGCGTATTCAGTTCCAAAGTACTTTTTCTTCACACAGGATTCCCATGTAAAGTAATAATCTGAAGTATTCAGATTTATTGGTTGAGGATAGAATTGTACAGCGTTTAGGCAGCCTGTCGACGGCAGTAATTTCGAGTGACCGCGAATGACATAAACAAGCGATTTTCTCGCTTTTGATTGGCCAGTTCGTCATTCGAGTCTAGATAATGTCGAATATCATTTTGCTGCTTGGTTAAGTTCTGAATTTCCAGGAGCGTTTTATCGAATTGGATGGAAAACTGACAACACAAACTATTACAGCTCAGGAGAGAAATGATATACCAGTGGATTTATTTGCCAAATTCAACGAATTCATGCCAAATTAAGAACTAAGGACTTCTCAGGAGTGTCAAGAATCCAAACAATGTTCTGAAGGTGCAATAACCTCAAGCAACTTCAATTATCGCTTGACAGTTATTTTCAGAGATCCTTAAATAAGTATAATATACACGGTGGTCTGGTTAATCATGATAAAAACGGCATGGTTGATGCAGCATATACGTATATATATATATACATAAGTATACTTATGTATATGTAGGTAAACCTAGATAAACTGTGTTCTTGTCACGAAGATCAGAAAGCAAGTATCAGATGTCTCAGTAAGCAGTGTAATACATGTAAGCTACATGTATTTATTTGACATAAACTGGATCTCCACTCACTTTCAGAATTAATCTTAAATCCAGTTGGAATAAGCTAGTTGAGCACATCAGTATTGAGAGAATACACTGAAAGTAAGTAAACACATGCTTCTTAAGATTAAGTGATGCATTTATTTGATATGATTGTATTATTATTAGTTGTCTATCTAAGTTAATGATGAATTCGTTACGATGACAATACCTATTATTGTTTTTATAGTCACTATGAACATGAATGTTATTATTATTGCTGTCGAGACCTATTATTTGTCATAAAGTTGTTGTCATTTTTGCTAAAATATTCGTACGAGCTTTGGAAACTACTGCATGACTTGTCGTTAAATAATTTTATAATTTCATGATGCTTCGATGGACCTATTAGATATCGACCAACGATAAATTGCGAAGTCCTCTAAGTTTAGTGAAAACTATTGGGCTACTTTTATATAAAAATATTGTTTGTAAAGTGATTACTTGTAAATGCTTATCAGGAAATTTTTTATGCAGATCATACATGTAATACCCAAGTTAATTATGCTTTTCTTAAACCTTTTCAGACTTACGGGAAAACATATATGTTCCGTGTACGGAGATGGAACTTACTGACGGTAACACAGGACTACTCATCTGAATTATATCTACATTTGAAATCTGATTTCTGTTTAATAAACAATTTTTCAATGACTCTGTCTTCCTTCTGTTGTAATGCGATTGTGTTCCGGTAACATTAGTAACGAGTGCCAAGTTAGAAGCTGAAGGTAAACTGTTAGGAGTAAATTCGGCGTCTGGAAGACTTTTGTTTACGTGATTATATGAGCAGATAGCAACGTATCGTGTTTCGTGGCTGAGAACCCTAGGCATTCTGTTTTTAATTATTACGATAACCGTAGTTGCACTGAGTTATACATCTAACAGCATAGGTATAGTCTCTCCTTATGGTATACTGCGACATGCAGAAATCACAAGCAAACTATCTCAGGTAGATTTACTCTCACTTTGTGACTATGAATCGCGAATCAGTATATGTATTCTGCTAAGACGATAGATAACTCGAAACGCTTTATAATCGCAATACCTCCTCTACGATTTAGGCATATTTACTTTATTTGACTACAACATAACCTTTTACCAATAGGCTTCTCCGAATATCTGGTCCTATTTAGTATTTCGAAGATAGCCTCATATACTCTATACCTCACAAATTACGCAAGGGCTAATATTCGGTCTTATCAAGTAGAATAAACAAACGAATAACGAGGAATACATTTATTAATGAATTAACATGTAATACAAAATCGACAACAGTGCACGTATCCATGAAATTCCCGAAAGTAGATATTATCTGAAAAAGAAGAAAAGAATTATACAGATGTAGACATTGTTATCAGTGTTAACACAATTAACCATGAAATATGTTTGAAACGACGAAATAACTGAACTGTATATAATTACGTCAGTATACATTTCTCAATAACACAAAATCGATATTGCATCTGCCTGCAAACATCAAGTTTATGTCATAAAGTAAGGAAATACTATGCGCATATAATTTCTAAGTATTTCTGCAGATTTTTCCTTAAAAAATACATGTGGGGGAGCCTTGTCAGCATTAGGAAAAGTACACAACAAAGTAAATGAAATAATTACCAAAACGAGCTATCCCACCTCATGTCCCTGTGTAATCCATTAAAATGCAAAAAAATTCACGAAATGGTCGTGATAACATGTGTCTTCAAGTAATTCGACATATTCTGAACGGAAAAGTATGTTTTTTCAACAAACTGCCTGTAAGCTACGGCTGGATAAGGACACCACCATTGCCTATTTCTGCTAAATACGCCGTATTTCATCAACTTTTGGCTGGAATATATGTAAAAAAGTGTGTATAACAACGAAAAATGACCTAACCTGGGAGCAAGTTAAATCATCGCGCAAGATTATGTTTAGGTCATTTGCTATAACTGGAGGATTAAAACAATTGCAAATCCGGATGAAATTAGGCATTTTGGAGGAAATTGATTTCGGTATCGCAACGATTTAAGCTATCTGCCTTTTAGCTACCGATATCCATGCTGAAAATTCCATACTTGTACCAAAAATACAGTGTGGAATCAAGCTGTAATCAAAAATATGAAAAAAATAAAATATTTCTACTACTACTGCAGCGTGATGACAGGAAGCAGGCAAAGTTTAAATCAAGTCCCCGTTGATGAACAACTAGGCGGTTTTAGGAGATTTTGAAGTGCTAATATTCGTCCCCTCCTGGTTTAATTTACGCTGTATTTCTTAGACGAACACTTGTTTCCAATTCATTGTAGTAGACTCCTGTAACAAAATGAAATGCGAAATTGTATAAAATTTGACATAACATTCCAACCAATCACATTTTAGACTCTATGACATTGTTTTATAACTCTTATGCGTGATTATGTGCATCTAGGTAACTTTTCTTTTGAGGTTTTTTACACAGGTGAGAAGTGAAATATCCGTCAGTACATATTCAGCTTTTTTGTATCGCTGTAGTTTTGATATGTGGCATCTGAACTTCTGCGTCGAAACAACTTAACTGTTTAGTTTCTTCAGTAGGCAGAAAATATTCAACAAAATGGTCACCAGAGTCATCCATCAAACCAGTGGAAATAAAAAAGATTAAAAGTAATCGACAGTAAAAAGTATTTGGGTTCTACTACAGAAGTCTGTAAAAGCTGAACCGAAAGGACGAACACGTATCGAGAGCTTAAAAGACCTTTCATAAAAAATGGGGAATGTAGACGGGCGTAGTAAATTCCCAGTATGTCAGACTAATCTGGGTAAAACAAAACACTAACAGAAAAATACTAACACAAATAATCTTCAAACAGCTAAGCAATCTTTTGGACTAGAATATGATTGAGATCTGGAGTTCATAAAAATGATATTCGTGTAGATTTTAGTACATAGTAGCTAACTGATCATGTCCATCTGAATTTATCACGGAAGGTTTCTGTTCCTCCAATAGTAAATGCGCTTTAGTGAGTTCCAAAAGTCAATTTACAAGACTAATAGTGAAAAACGGTAACATCTGTGAGAGAACAGCTGTAATTAAAAAATTTAGTTTCAAGACACTGCCACTAGTCAAACTTAAGAGCAGAGGTTTAAGCTAACTGACAAATAATACACTGTGAAAACAACATTAGATGAAGTTAATTAAGTCACGCAAGTGTACGAAAACACAAACTGCCCTAAAACTAGTTAATCGCTTCGCAACTCAGAAAATGAGGAGGGACGATTAGTAGATGTAGAAATTAAGCAATAACGAAGTCCTGACGTGCCCAAACTCTCAGTGATACTGTTAATGGTATATTAAGCGAGAAGATACCAAAACATTAGTCTGAATATGACCATATTAATCATTCTGAGTAAGCCAGCATCATATTCGACCAACTGTACAAAGATTGGTTAAGTCTGTTGATAACTGGTACACAAAGATGAATTGATGTTAGTGGAATACTGCGACTTTATTTAAACTGATTCCTGAAAGGAGTCTGACACCGGAGTGCTGGCAACATGGTAACAAGAACAACCCGCTCAAACCTAAGCTCACGGAAACTCTTCTCAAATATCCACAAATAATGGTGGGTGACGAAAGCGAAAGAAATGAGATAAACTCCACCAGTGGGAAATACGCATCAAATATTAAAACGGAAGTCACAACCACAATGTCGAAAGTCAAAGGGTAGTAAGATAATGAAATATCTATACCTTGTACATTGTTTCGGTGTGAGCTATGGCCCCGAGAGATTCGTACACTTATTCCGGGACATGACCTAATATTTAAACAAAACACTGAGAGAGGACACCTAGCAAAAATAACGTGAAAGATGGATCCAGAATTCTCCATCACTTGTTTTCTAATCCCCAATACCGACATTTAAAAGGTAATTAACAAACCATTGAAAAAAATAACCAAATCATTACTTGACTAACATCCTCTTTTTGTGAGGAAGTTTTGTTTTGGCGAATAGGATCGTCGTCGAAAATAGCCTGGGAAGGCAACAAATTACCAGTAAATTCTGAAAGAATGGTATACACATTATAGAGAATTTCAGTTAAATGAGCATATACAAGTTTATATTTTCGCTTCTAATAACAAAGACGAATAACTTATTCCTCTTACCTCCACTCAGTGTGGAAATGTCATTTTCAACAAATCAATCACTGCAAGAAATCGAATCTTT